AATTTGCTATCGATTGGACAGAACAGTTCGAATTTTCAGCGTAGCACAATTGGCTTGCTATCGCACAGAATGGCCACACTGTAACAAGTCGAAAACTTTTTCAATAGTCGCATGAGAGGAGTAAGGGCACGAGATTCAACAATTTTGGCGCGAAGTAGACAATTACTGGGTCTGAGTATGAGTAGTGAGTACCAGAATTGACGAAGGCCTTTAGAATTGGTAGGTTTTAGTGCTAGAGAGGTGAAAGTTGATCTTTATGTAGTGTATGTTCTACGCGCTTTTATACCGACCGAAGGGGTGGGGTGGGGCGGCACCCCCGAAGGGTTGAATCACCATTACATCGAGTAATTGTTGCTCTCGCAAGGACTACGCAGTAATTGGAGATGTATACAAAATAGGAGAGAATGAGTAACCAGTAACTGTGTCGCTAGCTGTTGTCTGTATGAATGAGGAATTTCTCATAGAAGAAAGGCGTTTTTACATATAGGTCATGTCAAATGTGTTAATGCATTACTACCGCGCTGTAAATGTGACACACCCAATTTATAAAGCAATTCATTAAACCCCATCTGACAAAACTCCATTTCGCCAAAACCACTCATTCAAGGAGTAGTAAAATTTAAAATAGAAGCATCATCTAGAAAGATTCACAAAACAGGCAAAATGCTCACTCAGGATCAAACTTGAAAGGAATCTCAACAACCGATTAAAGCAATCCCAAAATCAAAGAAAAGCTTTATAATAACTAGCTGTCCTAGTTCGCACTTTTAATCTCCTTATCATAAGTAGGAGCGTTCGCATAAATGGAGGTTCTTACTGCTCTTGCGCACGAAGTTCAACCAACAAATGATGGACTAAAGAATCTTTCGTATACAACATGAAAAGAAAAGAGAAACGAAATTAGCCGTTTGATGAGCAGTAGAATCCCTGAAGAGCTTAAATTGCCGAAAGTCCTTTGGAGGTATGATAATTAGAGAGAGGACCATTCTTTTGCTTCTGTTATCATAACGAGCGATGATCTTTACAGAAATTCCCAACAGCATTAGCTGATGGCAAGTTATGGTGTGATTGAAAGGACTTCAAGGATGTAATTCCATGCAAAGTTTATGCTGCTTACAGTCATACTAATCGTTAAGAGCGAATTGCAAATATGCGGCTTTAATTGATTGGTGCTCCACTTTGTAGAAGCTGAATTTTGCAAATAGATCGTATTAAAAATTTTGATGTAGTCTAAGTTCGTTCAAGTTTATATTTGTTCTGGTATAACCAAAATACTTCCAATACTTGCTCATAACTTTTCACAAATACCGTTTACGCCATATGTGCCTTTCTAAATATAAATGTGAAGCCAAAATCTTCAAAAACCAGAGGAAAACTCGTTCTTAAGAAAACACTAAACCTTGGCAAACGGTCATACCAAACGGAAAAAAAAATGTCAAGCGCCGAGAACTCGGCTCAATGTTCTTACATCCAAAAAGTATCCAAATAATTCAATTTATGATTAAAATTGCCGTATCGTTTATTGAATCAGGAAGTATGTCGCTGATGTAAGTATTTACAATTTTTAAAAAAAAATTGAGGAACGAATTGATAATCGAC